CTTCTTTCCCCTGGAAAGCTCTCTCCAGAACTTTTGAAGAGTGGATTTTTGCTCTCCGTGTTCGAAGGATACTTGCTTGGGTACAGTAGTCTTGGTTGGAAAGTCTTTTTTATTTTTCTTGTTCTACACGTTGACTGCAACATCCCATGCTTTCCTGGACTGTGAGGTTTCTGTTGAAAAATTTGCTGAAAGCCATATTTAGACCTTGTTGAGTGTGTGTGTGTGTTTCCATCTCCCTGCTTTCGGTGGTGTTTATTGGCGATGTGTGCGGTTTGACTCTTTGGCTAGTATAAGTGACGCTGATTTGAACATTGATGTACAAACTTTTGTGGGGACGTATGTTTTCAGTTCTCATTCCTATGTCTCCAGCAGTAGAATTGCTGGGCCACATAGTCACCTGACATTTCACAGCTTGAAAAACTGCCAATCAGGTCTCCTAAGAATCTGTACTGTTTTACAATCCCACCAGGAGCCTGGAACAGGATGTGAACCCCAGTGGTCTGGCTCCAGGGTCCATACTGTGACCTGGGCCTAAGCAGGCTTCTAGGCCTGTGCAGTACTCAGGTCCTACCTGCCGCACCCCGTGTATGTTGTAGAGCTTATTGGAGTGTGGTGGGGATGAGGAGGAGGTGCTGGGCGGCCCCCACATCAGGCCCAGGGGCAGCCATGTTTGTGACATAGCTGAGAGAACCTGGGGTGGCCTTACCCACACTGGGCTACTCTTGCCACCATCTCAGGCACTAGCAGTTAGGATTTATGGATGCTGGTCTGTGTGTGCAGGAAAGGTGGACTAAAGATGTGTATGCTCGGGAAATGATAGGTGGCATCTTCTGAGCACTGAGGGAGGGTGGTAGGAAAAGATGGAGCAGCAAGTAGAGGGAGAGACAGAGATGGGAGAGCAGTTCAGGTGGAGAGGGAGAGATGGTGGGGGTGGGGGAAGGAGGGGGACAGACAGAGAGGAAGACACACACACACACACACACACACACACACACACACACAGCTTGTTTCAGCACTTGTAAGTTACAAGTGCAGTAAAATCTTTGTGTCATTGCACCTGTGTGAGGAGGTGGTTAATTTATTTGACTTTCTGATGTGGTCTTCAGCAAATGTTGCAGGTCGTCATTTTTCTTTTGCTTTTAAAAATAGCTTTTATGAAAGTAGGTAAAGTAGGCCATTTTGTTGTTGGGATGTCACACATATGAATCTGTAAGCTAAGAAGGTGGAAGTAGTAAAGTTGGGTGGTTGTTTTAGTTCAAATAGGTGGGTGTACTGGTAGAGATTTTTTTTTTTCCCTTTTTGTCTTTTTTACTGACCGGTAACGGGATCGCAACCCTCG